TGGCGTACAGTTTATTCCTTTTTATTGCAGGATAGAATTATATAAATAGATTAACTTCTGTTTATCTAGTTCTTGACAATTGAACAATTAATTGTTTCAGTTCTTCACTATTACAAACAAAGTTCTAAATAATAATGTGGCCTTTTTCCTTCTGGACAATTGTGAGCAATTTTTTACAGCATCTATGGAGAAATACATCAAGAGAAGTAAATCTTCAATTTTATGAGAAATATTTAACAGATAAGTCAATTTAAACTGTTCAAATAGATGAACAATTTAAATTGATGAACCTTTTTATTTATGTTTAATTGACACACAATAATTGTATGTATTTATGGGGTACAGTGTGATGTTTTGATACATATATACATTGTATAATAAGTCACGTATCCATCATGTCATACATCTATCATTTCTTTGTGATGAAAGCATTCAAAATCCTCTCTTCCAACTCTTTTGAAATATACAATATTATTAACCATATTTACTCTACTGTACAGTAGAGCACCAGAACTTATTTCTCCTATCTAACTGTAACTTTGTAGCTGTTGAACAATTCCTTCCCATCTCTCATCCTGCCTACCCTCCCAGGCTCTGATAACCACTATTCTACTCTCTGTTTTTATGAGATCACCTTATTTAGAGTCCACATATAGTGAGATCATGCAGTAGGTATTTTTCTGTGTCAGAACTTATTTCACTTAACATAATGTCCTCCAGGTTCATCCATGTTGCCGCACTGACGGGACTCTATTCCTTTTTATGTCTGAATAGTATTCCATTGTGTATATATACATTTTCTTTATCCATTTATCCACTGATGGACATTTATGTTGATTCTATATCTTGGCTATTGTGAATAGTGCTGCAATAAACATGCAGATATCGCTCCAAGTTACTGACTGTATTTCCTTTGAATATATACTCAGTAGTGAGATGGCTGGATCATATAGTAGTTCTAATTTTTTGAGAAATATCCATAGTGTTTTCCAAAATGACTATATAATTTATATTCCCACCAACCATGTATAAGTCTTCCCCTTTTTCCACATCCAGGCCAGCAGTTGGTTGTTTTTGTTTTTTGTTTTTTGTTTTTTGGGTTTTTTTTGTCTTTTTCATAATAACCATTCTATTTGCGGTGAGGTCATAGCTCATAGTGGTTTTAATTTGCATCTCCATAATAATTAGTAATCTGAGTGGTTTTCCACATACCTATTGGCCATTTGTATGTCTTCTTTTGAGAAATATGTATTCAGGTCTTTTGCCCATGTTAAAATTTGATTGTTTTTGTTTGTTTGCTTTTGCTATTAGGTGGTTTCATTTCCTTGTATATTCTGGAAATTAACTTGTCAGACACACAGTTCAAAAATATTTTCTTTCCTTCTGTAGGTTATCTTTTCACTCAGTTGATTGTTTCTTTTCCTGTGCAGAAGTTTTCTAGTTTGATATAATCTTATTTGTCTATTTTTGCTTTTGTCACCTGTGCTTTTGAGGTCTTATCAAAAAACTCCTTGTCTAAATTAATGTCTTGAAGTATTTCCCCTATGTTTTCTTCTAATAGTTTTACTGTTTGGGATTGTACAATTAAGTCCTTAATGCTCTTATAGTTTATTTTTATATATTGTAAAGGATAGGGGTCTAGCTTCATTGTTCTGCATGTGGGTATCCAGTTTTTCATCACCATTTTTTGAAGAGACTGTCCTTCCCAATTTAACTATCTAATAGCAATGTATGAGAGTTCCTTTTCTTCATATACTTGCCAATTCATGGTGTCTTCATGTATATTTTAAAAATTTCAGCAGTGCTATCTTACCATTGTTTTAGCTTTTATTTACTTTATCATTTTGAAAGTGGACTCCCCCACACACACTTAATATGTTTATTGGCCATTCAGACTTCATTTTCGGTGAGTTTCTAGTTTGTATTTTTTGCCATATTTTAATTAAGGTTGTCTTTTCCTTATTGAGCTTTTGTCTTTCCTTTATTGATTCATAGTTCTCTATGTGTCTGGAATACTACTGTTTTGTTGGTTTGTGGCAGTATGTATTCTCCCATCTGTGGCTTTGTGGTGTTGGTGGTTGCTGTTGTAATGAAACTTCATTTTAATGTTATCAGCCTTAACAGAACATTCATTTATCCTGTGTGCTTTGGGGATCTTGACTAAGAAATGTGCTTTACCATGAAAAATGAATGAGATCACGTCCTTTGCAGGGACATGGATGGAACCAAAGTCCATTATGCTTAGCAAACTAACACGGGAAAAGAAAACCAAATACTGCCTGTGCTCACTTGTAAGTGGGAGCTAAATGATGAGAACACATGGACACATAGAGGAGAAAAACCCACACTAGGGCCTTTCAGAGGATGGATGATGGGAGGAGGGAGAGGATCAGGAAAAATAACAAATGGGTACTAAGCTTAATACCTGGGCAATGAAATAATCTGAACAGCAAACCCCCATGACACGAGTTTACCTATGTAACAAGCCTGCACTTATGCCCTTGAACATAAAAAAAAAGTTAGAAAGAAATATGCTTTACCCTAAGGTCATCAACATAATCTATAAAGTTTTCTAATTATGTGAGGTAGGGATATAGTATTATTTTTCCTTTATAGATAGCCGACTTCCTCAGCAGCATTTGTTGAACAGTTCTTCCTTTTTACTACTTTATCTTTTTAATGTACTTTTGTCAGTCTCATGGTCCTCATTACAAACATGTCTATTTCTAAGCGCTATATTTTTATTCATTGTTTTATTGGTTTATCCTTGTAAATATTTATTATTTGTTTTAATCGCTTGCAAATATTTATTATTTGTAAAAAGCTGTGATGTGTTATAGTGAATTCCTGCCTTCTCTTTTTATAAAAAAAGAGTACTTTGATAAGTATGATAAATATTGATGTGAGTTGAAAAATAAATCGCTTATAAGTTATTTCAGAGATGCTGAAAAAATAGAATTCCTGTTAAAATTACTTTTAGCTTTTAGACTGTATTTCTTTGAATGTGAGGCCATGTGGCAACTAAATAACATGGGGCCCCAGGATTGTTAGAGCAAAAGCTGGTTCTTGAACTAAGCCCAGTAAAAGTTTTTTAATAAAGCTGTTATAATAAATTTAACTAGATCTAACATTTTATTTGATCAACAAATTTATATAGAGTATGCATTAATTGGTTATGATAGATTCTAGGTCTAATCTTTCAAGAAAAAGAGAAAGGAACATGGAAACATGAAAAAGAATAGACCAAAGTAAGACATCCAGCTCATATCTTAACCTGAAGGATTATTTCCAAATATGTTGAGAAATTGTCTCATCCTTTTGGTACTGGTATTTAGCATAGAGTAACAGCAACTGACAGCCTTGCTAATATCTGAATTTATTATGATGTGATGTTTCCAAGTCTTTATTAATTTTTCCTAATTACACTATTAAATGTTTTAGAAGTGGAGTGATTAAAGACTGAATTTAAGTTGTGTTTAATGCCTCATTAGTCAGTACCTTTGATATATCTCAAGATCAAGCAGGAACTTCTAATATGGCATCTGATGTCATATAGAAATGAGATACCAAACAATAAAACAGAAAGGCTGAGAGACTGGAGGAGGAAATCCAAACTTATCAGCATTTTGCTTACTCTGGCTTGACACAGTCAATAAAATGCTTTGAAAGCCATACTGGGGAGAAGACAAATTCTGAGTGGAACAATGAGATTTCAGTAGCATGGAGAAATTGATGAGATGGCTGAAATCCACCAAATGTGAAATCTCACTTAGCCAGTGCTCCTTAGACAGACTGTGAGAGGAATTCACCGCTGGGGAAGAGACATTGTCACCTGTGGTTGAGCCTGGAGGAATATATATATGTTTTCATGCTACACATTGATATTTAAACATAGAATTACATATCTTACACTTAAACTTTAAAAAGATCAGAGAAATTAGGCCGGGCACAGTGGCTCACACCTGTAATCCCAGCACTCTGGCAGTCTGAGGTGGGTGGATCATGAGGTTAGGAATTCGACACCAGCCTCACCAACATGGTGAAACTCCGTCTCTACTAAAAATAAAAAATTAGCTGGGAGAACTGCTTGAATCCAGGAGGCAGATGCTGAGATCTTGCCACTGCACTCCAGCCTGGACAACATAGTGAGACTCTGTCTCAAACAACCAAAAAAAGATCAGAGCAATTAATGTATGGATCTGAAACTATAAGAAGGATTTTCTATCTTGTTGCTTACTTTGCATTATGATTTCTTTACCTGGACTTTCAATGGTACCACCCTCCCCACCTTCTAGAATAGTACATATATATCATGATAAAATGTGTGGGCATGTCCTTGGAAAAATCATTCAAAATAAATTGCTTTGTTGTCTTTTGGAGTAATTGTTTACATGGAAGTTTTTTTAATAAATAAAGTGTTATGTCTTAAAAAAAGATTCGGGGTCTATAAACAATGAATAAATTAGAAATAATCATGCATTGTGTAGACAAGCAGGGTATACAGAGTTAAATAGGTCATTACACACAAAATAAGTCAATGAGATTTCCAATGTCAAATAATTGCTTTGTTTCCACAGAAGAAACTATGGAGTCAAGCAACTTGGGTCCAAATCACAGCTTCTCCTCTTCCTATTGCTATGACTATAAGACTGTCTGTATTAGCTTTCACATCTAAAGAGTAGAAATAATAACAGTACCACCCAGCTCATATATTGAAGGCTATTGAATCAGTTACAATACATCAGTTATTGGAACAGTGTATTAAAAAACATTTAACAAACAACTTTTAGTCCTGTCATTTACAGAGACCAGATTCTGAAAGAAAGTAGCTATATCGACTAAACTTACATTTCTTTTTCAGCACATTTGCATCAAAATATGTGGCAAATGTAAGAAAATATGAAGACATTCCCTAAGTCAAAAGAACATCTCTATTATCCTATGCCACAGTTATCATTTCTTATTCCAAGACATATCATTTTTTTTCCTTCAAATTTCCCTAGTGCCCTCCAGCTGATATAAACATGAGCCCTGAGAACCAAAGCAGTGTGTCCGAGTTCCTCCTCCTGGGCCTCCCCATCCAGCCAGAGCAGCAGGCCGTGTTCTTCACCCTGTTCCTGGGCATGTACCTGACCACAGTGCTGGGGAACCTGCTCATCATCCTGCTCATCCGGCTGGACTCTCACCTTCACAACCCCGTGTGCTTCTTCCTCAGCCACTTGGCCCTCACTGACGTCTACTTTTCATCTGTCACTGTCCCTAAGATGATGATGAACATGCAGACCCAGCACCTAGCTATCTTTTACAAGGGGTGCATTTCACAGACATATTTTTTCATATTCTTTGCTGACTTAGACAGTTTCCTTATCACTTCAATGGCGTATGACAGGTATGTGGCCATCTGTCACCCTCTACATTATGCCATCATCCTGGGTCAGAGTCAGCATGAGCTGGTGGCTGGGTCCTGGGTCATCGCTTGTGCGTGTGCTCTTTTGCACACTCTCCTCCTGGCCTGGCTTTCCTTCTGTGCTGATCACATCATCCCTCACTTCTTCTGTGACCTTGGTGCCCTGCTCAAGTTGTCCTGCTCAGACACCTCCCTCAATCAGTTAGCAATCTTTACAGCAGGATTGACAGCCATTATGCTTCCATTCCTGTGTATCCTGGTTTCTTATGGTCACACTGCAGTCACCATCCTCCAGATTCCCTCTACTAATGGCATATGCAAAGCCTTGTCCACTGGTGGATCTCACCTCTCAGCAGTGACTCTCTATTATGGGACCATTATTGGTCTCTATTTTCTTCCCCCATCCAGCAACACTAATGACAAGAACATAATTGCTTCAGTGATATACACAGTAGTCACTCCCATGTTGAACCCCTTCATTTACAGTCTGAGAAATAAAGACATCAAGGGAGCCTTAAGAAAACTCTTGAGTAGGTCGGGCGCAGTGGCTCACGCCTGTAATCTCAGCACTTTGGGAGGCCGAGGCAGATGGATCACCTGAGATCAGGAGTTCGAGACCCGCCTGGCCAACATGGCGAAACCCAATCTCTACTAAAAATACAAAAGATTAGCCTGGCATAGTGGCACAAGCCTGTAGTCCCAGCTACTCGGGAGGCTGAGGAAGAAGAGTTACTTGAATCTGGGAGACGGAGGTTGCAGTGAGCCAAGATTGTGCCACTGAACTCCAGCCTGGATGACAGAGCAAGACTCTGTCTGAAAAAAGAAAGAAAAGAAAAAAAGAAAATTCTTGAGGAAAAAAAAACATTATTCTAACTGATACTTGCCTGTCTTTTTTTTTTTTTCCTTTTTTTTATTATTATTATACTTTAAGTTCTAGGGTACATGTGCATAACGTGCAGGTTTGTTACATATGTATACTTGTGCCATGTTGGTGTGCTGCACCCATCAACTTGTCAGCACCCATCAACTCGTCATTTACATCAGGTATGACTCCCAATGCAATCACTCCCCCCTCCCCCCTCCCCGTGATAGGCCCCGGTGTGTGATGTTCCCCTTCCCGAGTCCAAGTGATCTCACTGTTCAGTTCCCACCTATGAGTGAGAACATGTGGTGTTTGGTTTTCTGTTCTTGCGATAGTTTGCTGAGAATGATGGTTTCCAGCTGCATCCATGTCCCTACAAAGGACACAAACTCATCCTTTTTACTGGCTACATAGTATTCCATGGTGTATATGTGCCTGAAAGTGAGGGGGGAAATGGAATTAAGTTGGAAAACACTCTTCAGGATATCATCCAGGAGAACTTCCCCAACCTAGTAGGGCAGGCCAACATTCAAATTCAGGAAATACAGAGACTGGATTAAGAAAATGTGACAATGGGGTTTTCTAAATATACAATCATGTCATCTGCAAACAGGGACAATTTGACTTCTTCTTTTCCTAACTAAATACCCTTTATTTCTTTCTCTTGCCTGATTGCCCTAGCCAGAACTTCCAACACTATGTTGAATAAGAGTGGTGAGAGAGGGCATCCCTGTCTTGTGCTGGTTTTCAAAGGGAATTTTTCCAGTTTTTACCCATTCAGTATGATATTGGCTGTGGTTTTGTCATAAATAGCTATTATTGTTTTGAGATACGTTCCATCAATACCGAATTTATTGAGCGTTTTTACCATGAAGGGCTGTTGAATTTTCTCAAAGGCCTTTTCTGCATCTATTGAGATAATCATGTAGTTTTTGTCTTTGGTTCTGTTTATATGCTGGATTACATTTATTGATTTGTGTATGTTGAACCAGCCTTGCGTCTCAGGGATGAAGCCCACTTGATCATGGTGGATAAGCTTTTTGATGTGCTGCTGGATCCGGTTTCCCAGTATTTTGGTGAGGATTTTTGCATCAATGTTCATCAGAGATATTGGTCTAAAATTCTCTTTTTTTGTTGTGTCTCTGCCAGGCTTTGGTATCAGGATGATGTTGGCCTCATAAAATGAGTTAGGGAGGATTCCCTCTTTTTCTATTGATTGGAATAGTTTCAGAAGGAATGGTACCAACTCCTCCTTGTACCTCTGGTAGAATTCAGCTGTGAATCCACCTGGTCCTGGATTTTTTGGTTGGTAGGCTATTAATTATTGCCTCAATTTCAGAGCCTGCTATTGGTCTATTCAGGGATTCAACTTCTTCCTGGTCTAGTCTTGGGAGAGTGTAAGTGTCCAGGAAATTATCCATTTCTTCTAGGTGTTCTAGTTTATTTGCGTAGAGGTGTTTATAGCATTCTCTGATGGTAGTTTGTATTTCTGTGGGGTCAGTGGTGATATCCTCTTTATCATTTTTTATTGCATCTATTTGATTCTTCTTTTTTTCTTTATTAGTCTTGCTAGTGGTCAATGAATTGTGTTCATCTTTTCAAAAAACCAACTCCTGGATTCATTGATTTTTTGGAGGGTTTTTTGTGTCTCTATCTCCTTCAGTTCTGCTCTGCTCTTAGTTATTTCTTGCCTTCTGCTAGCTTTTGAATGTGTTTGCTCTTGCTTCTCTAGTTCTTTTAATTGTGATGTTAGAGTGTCAATTTTAGATCTTTCCAGCTTTCTCTTGTGGGCATTTAGTGCTATAAATTTCCCTCTACACACTGCTTTAAATGTGTCCCAGAGATTCTGGTATGTTGTATCTTTGTTCTCATTGGTTTCAAAGAACATCTTTTTTCTGCCTTCATTTCGTTATGTACCCAGTAGTCATTCAGGAGCAGGTTATTCAGTTTCCATGTAGTTGAGCGGTTTTGATTGAGTTTCTTAGTCCTGAGTTCTAGTTTGATTGCACTGTGGTCTGAGAGACAGTTTGTTATAATTTCTGTTCTTGTACATTTGCTGAGGAGTGCTTTACTTCCAATTAGGTGGTCAATTTTGGAATAAGTGCGATGTGGTGCTGAGAAGAATGTATATTCTGTTGATTTGGGGTGGAGAGTTTTATAGATGTCTATTAGGTCTGCTTGCTGCAGAGATGAGTTCAATTCCTGGATATCCTTGTTAACTTTCTGTCTCGTTGATCTGTCTAATGTTGACAGTGGAGTGTTGAAGTCTCCCATTATTATTGTATGGGAGTCTAAGTCTCTTTGTAAGTCTCCAAGGACTTGCTTTATGAATCTGGGTGCTCCTGTATTGGGTGCATATATATTTAGGATAGTTAGCTCTTCCTATTGAATTGATCCCTTTACCATTATGTAATGGCCTTCTTTGTCTCTTTTGATCTTTGATGGTTGAAAGTCTGTTTTATCAGAGACTAGTATTGCAACCCCTGCTTTTTTTTGTTCTCCATTTGCTTGGTAGATCTTCCTCCATCCCTTTATTTTGAGCCTATGTGTGTCTCTGCATGTGAGATGGGTCTCCTGAATACAGCAAACGGATGGGTCTTGACTCTTTATCCAGTTTGCCAGTCTGTGTCTTTTAATTGGACCATTTAGTCCATTTTCATTTAAGGCTAATATTGTTATGTGTGAACTTGATCCTGTCATTATGATATTAACTGGTTATTTTGCTCGTTAGTTGATGCAGTTTCTTCCTAGCCTCGATGGTCTTTACATTTTGGCCTGTTTTTGCAATGGCTGGTACCGGTTGTTCCTTTCCATGTTTAGTGCTTCCTTCAGGGTCTCTTGTAAGGCAGGCCTGGTGGTGACAAAATCTCTAAGCATTTGCTTATCTGTAAAGGATTTTATTTCTCCTTCACTTATGAAACTTAGTTTGGCTGGATATGAAATTCTGGGTTGAAAATTCTTTAAGAATGTTGAATATTGGCCCCCACTCTCTTCTGGCTTGTAGAGTTTCTGCCGAGAGTTCTGCTGTTAGTCTGATGGGCTTCCCTTTGTGGATAACCCGACCTTTCTTTCTTGCTGCCCTTAAGATTTTTTCCTTCATTTCAACTTTGGTGAATCTGGCAATTATGTGTCTTGCAGTTGCTCTTCTCAAGGAGTATCTTTGTGGCATTCTCTGTATTTCCTGAATTTGAATGTTGGCCTTCCCTACTAGGTTGGGGAAGTTCTCCTGGATGATATCCTGAAGAGTGTTTTCCAACTTGATTCCATTTTCCCCCTCACTTTCAGGCACCCCAATCAGACGTAGATTTGGTCTTTTTACATAATCCCATACTTCTTGAAGGCTTTGTTCATTTCTTTTTCTTCTTTTTTCTTTTGGTTTATCTTTTCGCTTCATTTCATTCATTTGATCCTCAATCGCTGATACTCTTTCTTCCAGTTGATCAAGTCGGTTACTGAAGCTTGTGCATTTGTCACTTATTTCTCGTGTCATGGTTTTCATCTCTGTCAGTTCGTTTATGGCCTTCTCTGCATTAATTATTCTAGTTATCAATTCTTCCACTCTTTTTTCAAGATTTTTAGTTTCTTTGTGCTGGGTACGTAATTCCTCCTTTAGCTCTGAGAATTTTGATGGACTGAAGCCTTCTTCTCTCATCTCATCAAAGTCATTCTCCGTCCAGCTTTGATCCGTTGCTGGCGATGAGCTGCATTCCTTTGCAGGGGGAGATGCGCTCTTATTTTTTGAATTTCCAACTTTTCTGCCCTGCTTTTTCCCCATCTTTGTGGTTTTATCTGCCTCTGGTCTTTGATGATGGTGACGTACTGATGGGGTTTTGGTGTGGGTGTCCTTCCTGTTTGTTAGTTTTCCTTCTAACAGTCAGGACCCTCAGCTGTAGGTCTGTTGGAGATTGCTTGAGGTCCACTCCAGACCCTGTTTGCCTGGGCATCAGCAGTAGAGGCTGCAGAAGATAGAATATTGCTGAACAGTGAGTGTACCTGTCTGATTCTTGCTTTGGAAGCTTCCTCTCCGGGGTGTATTCCACCGTGTGAGGTGTGGTGTGTCGGTCTGCCCCTAGGGGGAGATGTCTCCCAGTTAGGCTACTCAGGGGTCAGGGACCCACTTGGGCAGGCAGTCTGTCCCTTCTCAGATCTCAACCTCCGTGTTGGGAGATCCACTGCTCTCTTCAAAGCTGTCAGACAGAGTCGTTTGCATCTGCAGAGGTTTCTGCTGCTGTTGTTGTTGTTGTTGTTGTTGTTGTTGTTGTTGTTTAGCTGTGCCCTGTCCCCAGAGGTGGAGTCTACAGAGACTGGCAGGGCTCCTTGAGCTGCTATGAGCTCCACCGAGTTGGAGCTTCCCAGCCACTTTGTTTATCTACTTAAGCCTCAGCAATGGTGGGCGCCCCTCCCCCAGCCTCACTGCTGCCTTGTGGTTAGATCACAGACTGCTGTGCTAGCAATGAGGGAGGCTCCCTGGGCGTGTGACCCTCCCGGCCAGGTGTGGGATATAATCTCCTGGTGTGCCCATTTTCTAAGACCCTTAGTAAAGCGCAGTATTGGGGTGGGAGTTACCCAATTTTCCAGGTGTTGTGTGTTTCAGTTCCCCTGGCTAGGAAAAGGAATCCCCTCCCCCCTTGTGCTTCCCAGGTGAGGCGATGCCTCACCTGGCTTCAGCTCTCACTGATCGGGCTGCAGCAGCTGACCAGCACCGATTGTCTGGCAATCCCTAGTGAGATGAACCCAGTACCTCAGTTGAAAATGCAGAAATCACCTGTCTTCTGTGTCGCTCATGCTGGGAGCTGGAGACTGGAGTTGTTCCTATTTGGCCATCTTTCTCCACAGTCTTGCCTTTCTTTTAAAACATCTCATGTAACATTTTTCCTCGATAATAGAAAGATACAAATTATTGAAAATATATCTCACTTGTCTTCCTTCCACAGCTGTCACTCTGAAATGCTTTCCTGATACTATTCTTGCATCTGAGGGAATAGTAAAATAGGATATGTTTTATAGGACTTTATTTGTTCTTTTCTTGGGTAATGGAATTGGAAAATATTCTGAGCATGTTATGTCACTTTGGCTGTTATGAAAATGAAGCCATCACGGCTGACCTTTCCCAAATTTTAAACTTGTTATAAAATGTGTCTGGCCCTTCACACATCTGTTTCTTAGGAATTTTCCACTTTTGTGAAGATATGGCTCCTCTTTTCACCCAGGCACTAGATATCCAGGAAGTTGAAGCCCTTTCAGAAATTTTAGGAAAAACATATGACATTTCTCTCTCCTTACATAATAATTAACACACTTGCTTTCTTGTCCTTCCAGAATATAACCCACACTTCTTTTCTCCCCAAACACATACAGATGTTCAGTGACAAAATAAGTGTCACCTCAGTTCTCTCAGGGACTGATCTAAGAACTCAATATACCTTAAAATCATCTAACTTAATCCTGACAAAAACTCCAAAAGGTAAGTTTAAAAAACTCAGGCTCTAAAAGGGGAAGAACACCCCAAGATCACATAGTTCGTGAAAGGAAGACTTGAATCTTGGCATCTGATTCCAGAGTGACTCAGTGTAGCAAAGACTATAATAGTTTATGTGGAACACTGTGTGGGTTTGAGGAGTAATAATTAGCTCAGCCTGATGGAAGAGGATATAAACAACTTCCCAGAGAAGGTGTTTCTTTACCTGAATCTTACCAGATGAGAACTATCCAGACACACAAGATTTTATCTTGTTCTGATGACCACAGGAAGAGGGAGTAGTATGTGTCAGGATATTAAACTGGAAGTTTTAACTGAGGCACCAAGTCCTGGGAGACAACAGATACTAAAGTGAGTTGCGACACACAAAATGAAGATATTTATAAGAAATAATAATAATAATCAATATGGTAACACAAGCCTCTCAATCTAATGTGGATCTAAAAAGAACTGAGAGCTGGAGATAAGAGAGCTGGAGATAAGATAAGATAAGAAAACTCTCTGAGTTTTCTTTCAGAGAAAGCTGCATACTGAACCCCAAATCCTCCTAACAGGGAGAGGGGTGTTTTTCTCTTTATCTCAAGATTAATGGAAGAAGCTTCAACAGAACCACTTAGCAAGTTTTATATATATCCCTTGCTTTTATGAGAGAAAGAGCAATAGAAAAGAAGAAATGTGAAGGGAGAGAGATAAAGAAAATGATGAAATTATGTTTAGGGAATGCTTTCACTTCTTTTCATGGTAAGGCAATAAAATAACTGGGGATCCCAGTACCTGGTAGTGGACAGTGAGCCAGGTAGGCCCCACAGTGGTGCTGTCCCCATGCCTAACCCTGCCTCTGGTCCCACCCTCCAACCCCTATCTCCTAGCCAGGCCCTGCCCCAACCGTCCCTGCCATGCTGGATGGAGGAGGATGTAGCTGCTCCTTGTCTGCCTATTGTCCTGCCAAGTGTTCACCTAGGGGAAAAAAAAAGGCATTAGAGAAATGTCCAAATATGTTGAGTTTATTCAAGAATGAGAAATGAGGATTATAACCCAAGGTGCACAAAATGACAAGCCACCAGTGCATCTGGTGAGGGCAGAGTAAAGGAAAGCTCTCACTGGCAAGAAGGAAGAGGTTTGTGTCAGCCGCTTAGACATGGAATCCACTGGCTCCAGAGGCTCAAAGCTAAAGTTGTCATCAGTTCATTGGTGAAAACGCTGTTACTGCACAAATGGCTATCTGAGAGCATGTTGTCTGAATTACTGCAGTCCTAAAGAATGTCTAGTGATAAATCTTGTCATAGAAACATATGTATATGTGTGAAACGTGCAAGCTGTGCAAAGCAGACAATGCACAGAGATGTCTTCTGGAGTTCTTAGAAAGTTCTTGGAAATAGTTCTTATCTCAGACATGTAAGCATGAGCCCCCTCTCATTCATACCTTCCCAGCCCTATTTTTTCTAGGTGTGACAAAAGTTATTTCATCCTGATATTGGCAACTTTCACATTTCCCTCTTTTGATAACAATTTTTCTCTAAAAATATCATTCATCAACTAGCCTGTAGCCTGGTTTGAATTGTCCGTTGGTGCTGGGATAGACCTGTTGTAGTTAGTTGATCTCATCCCACATCAGGCGGAGGTGATAAACATCTGGAAGTCAGTCTCAAGACCCTTTTAGCCAAATTTGAGCAAGAAGGAGGCCAGAATGTGAAATTCTTAGGCTTATCTCATCTGGATTTCATCATTAAATTTAATTTTGTCTGTTCCATGGGCATTGACTATCATCTCAAATTACTGGGCCAACATTATTTTGTCAGGAGTTGTACTTCTGCAAAGATTTAACAGACAACAGTTACATAGGTTAAAAAGGAAAATACAGAGCAAAAACAGCCGCAATATGATGAGTCCAATTTGCATGATGCTTTTGAGCCATGAACAAAGGCAACCCACTAAATAGATAAAATGACCCCAGAGAAATGGGTGAGACTTGTAGCCAGATGGACTTGTTCTTTTAGTTTATGTAACTGAGCTTCAACTTATCTGGAGGAGTTAACCTGGGTACAACATGCAGTATTAACAATCGCATAGATACCACCTTGCTCAGCTAACAGATAATCAAGAGCAATTCTGTCAACACTACTCTGGCAAGAGAAGCCAATGAATGCTATTGTATACTTGCAGTGAAGTCTGCAAGAATTCCTAGGGTAGCAAATCAATCTTTACCATTTCTTCATTAGTGGCTATATCATACCATTATACAAAAGATCTGACAAAGGAAGCAATCCAGAGTCCCATGCCCACCTGGTAACTCATGTTTAACCCTTTGATAAAATAAGAGGGGCATGACCAGTTTCAGATCTATTATGCATTGACAACAGAGAAACAAAACATCCCAACACACATTAGCCTCCCATTGCCCAAGTGTCTAAATATCTAGAGGCCCATATTGACATATCCCACCCACAAAACTAAATATATCTGATAAGAAAACAAAGAATTATTCCATATGTAAATTTTCTGTGTATGGCAGGATTAAACCAGGGATCAGTTATATTACTATAAACTGCTAACGGCCCTTCCTCTTAAAATCAGTCCCAACAAGTTTTCTTACATATTGTAAAGAGACCCAAGGAATACTTTAAGAGAGATGATTCATTCCACATCTCTAGGGCCCAACTAGGAGACCATTGTTTTGAGTAGTTAAGACAGGGGACAGGAGTAGAAGGTGAATGAGAAAGTTTAACCTTATAGGACGGTCCCATGATACACTTTGTACAGGAGGTTAGAGCTGAGATGTTAGCAAAATTTGTTACAGATTGTACTAAAAGATCACTAGAGTCATGAACAGATCAGGATTCCTTATGACAGATCCAACAATCAGTAAGTTTTCTCCTGTAGCAACAGACTGGGAAATGTGGACAGGCATATCGTCTTCCAGGGGGAAAAAAATGGATAAGATAAAATAAGAATTAGAAATAAGGAAAGGGTATACAGAAGTCATCCAAACATCTTGGGAGAAACAGATGCCATCTGCTTCAAATCTTAGAAATTTTTAGTTTTATAAACTAAGTTCAATTCTTAGAAATTTTTAGTGTTAATTCATTGACAGGAGTGCAGGTCCACTGAGGAGTGATGTTTTCCTTAGATAAGATACATATATCCAAGAATCAATTCCTTTAAGCTTGGCAGCACAAGGGTTGGTTAACAGGACTGGAAATTGGCCTCTCAGTGAGGTTGGATGGAGTCTTTTTAAATGTCTTTTCAAATAGACAAAATCTCCTGATTGTAAATTATGATGTTTTAGGTCTTCATCTCCTGGGGATGCACGGTGGAAAGACTGTTTTACCAGAGCATGATTTTTATCCATAGCCTTGATTATACCTTTATAATATTGAAGCATTTCACCTTTTATGAACTCTGGGTCTTTGAAGTTGGGGCCAAATGCGTGGGGTGCCCAGTAATAATTGTGAATTGTGAGATCTTATGTATTCCAAAGAGAGACCTTTTAGTTCTGAAGCACTATAGGCAGGGCTTTTGGCCACGGTAAGCATAAGGTTTCTACAAAATTTGCCAGTTGGGTCTTAAGAGTACTGTTGGCGCATTTCAACTAGTCCAGAGGGCTGGAGATGATAAGCACAATTAAAGTGCTGTAAGATTGGCCAGATAGCCCACATTTGTATTATAACTTGTTCTGTAAAATTAGTTCCTCAGTTGCTGGGAGCTCAAGAGAGGAACTCAAGAGAGGCCATCAGTTGCTGGGAGCTTAGGACAGGAGCTCAAGTGAGGCTCTGGTATGGATTATCTTTTCTAACAGGACTTTATGGCTAATGTCGTGGCTTGTCTTCAGAGGAATGCTTCAATCCAGTGGGAGAACATGCAGATCAAGACTAACACATATTTGTATCCGTGCAAGGGAGGGAGCTGGATATAATCCAACTTTGAATGGCCCATTAGGGAGGTTAAAATGTCCAGGGTTATGCACCCCAGATTCCCAGGACTGGATTTAGGGAATGTAGGGCAGAGTAAAATAAGTATTTTTGACTGCTTTATTGATGGTACTCGACCAGTATTGTTTTATAGAAGTAAACATATTTTATGTAGTCCAGTGGCTTAAGTTATGTACAGTAGTAAACAATGGAAATTTCATGGAGACTGGCAGGACAGGTTTGTTTATTCGGCCCAAATCGAAGTATATCTTTATCAGTGAATCAGCATCCACTATTTTCCAATTTTTTGGGGGGGCCCCAGGTGCCCAATTCTGTGCTTCTTTAGCAATTGTTTCAGAATTATTTGGGGGGAACTTTTCTAGTCGGGCCATGATAGAAATTTGATCAGTAGGATATTTTAAGGATAGCATTCTTTGCTGCATTATCAGCAAACTGATTTTCCCTAGATTCCATAGTGTCTAATTTTGAAACGCCAGAGACTTTGATCATGGTTAGGGCATCAGGTAACTGTATAGCATCTAATAATTCTTGCACATAAGGGCCATTCTTTATTTTGTTTCCATTGGAAGTGAGGAAACCTCTTTACTTCTAAACCATATCAAAATTATGAACAACTCCAAAGGCTTACTGTATTAGTCCATTTTCATGCTGCTGATAAAGACATGCCTGAGACTGGGAAGAAAAAGAGGTTTAATTGGACTTACAATTCCACATGGCTGAGGAGGTCTCAGAATCACAGTAGGAGGCAAAAGGTACTTCTTACATGGCAGCAGCAAGAGAAGATGAGGAAGATGAGAAAGCAGAAAGCCCTAATAAAACCATTAGATCTCATGAGACTTATTCACTACCATGAGAACAGTATGGGAGAAACAGCCCCCATGATTCAAATTATTTCCCACTGGGTCCCTCCCACAACAC